AATCTTAGCGACCCATCCTTCTTTTTCACGAACAGAACTGGAGCTCCACATGGTGAAGTACTATGCCGAATAAATCCTCGATCGAATAATTCTTGCAATTGGACCTTCAACTCCTTAAGTTCTTTTGGAGCCATGCGATAAGGTGCCATAGAAATAGGTGCAGATCCCGGATAAGTCTCTATCTCGAACTCTACCTCTCTATCAGGAGGTAAACCAGGCAACTCCTCTGAAAAGACATCAGGAAACTCGCTAACTGTACGGATCTCTTCGATCGTGGACAATGAACCTTTAGTGTTCAAAATACAAGCAATGAAAATCTCATACCCCTTCCGTATCATACGATCAATTTATATCGCTGAAACTATATTGGAGAGATAGCCACGCCGTTCACCAATTAACACAACGGTCCGACCATCTAAAGTCTTTAGAGTAGCCCGCTTGTATTCGCAATCCAGATTTACCTTGTGTTTATTCAACCAATCCATCCCAAGAATTAGATCGAACTCCTCTAAAGGAAGTTCCATAAGATCAGCGAGAAAAATTTCTCCCTGAACCTCGAGAGGACAACGTCAAAATACTTTATTCACTAATACAGCTTGTCCTACTGGACTCGTAATTGTAACCGTATTTTCAGTGTTCTCGATCAGAATATGAAGGTTTCGAGATACCGAGCTCGATACATAGGAGTGAGTGGAGCCATTGTCTAGTAATGCAAAGTATGGGATAGAATAAATAGTAAATGTACCTGCAATAACCTCAGGCTCATCTCTGTCATCCCGATGTCTAGTGGCATAAACCAAAGCTGGCTGTCTAGCCTCAGAAGCTGTTGACCCTCTATTTTGCTGAGGTCGGGCTCTACTGTCTGTCCTGGACGCTGATCCTCGAGTCTTTCCTTAACTACGATCTCTAATTGGAGTCTGTACTGTAGTCTGCGAACGCACATGAGTCTGGGTAGCAGTCTGCTCAAACGAAGCTAGCTGAGGACAATCCCTCCGATAATGACCACTAGATCCACACTGATAGCAAAGACCCATCTTCTTACGACACTCTCCTGTGTGTTGTTTACCACAATACTCACAAAGGGGCCCATTATAATATGACGAGGAACCGCCTCGACTGACAGCTAAAGGTGAGGATGCTGCAGGCCTGAAACGTGTATTGCTTCTCTGAGGGGCCAAAGTACGAGTCCTCTTCCCGGACTGTGCTGATGACTCAACAGGGCCTGAAAATTTCTTAGATAGTTCTTGATCAACACGCTCTCTACCAGAAGCTAAAACCTCCACCTCTTCCGCATCTTTGGCTCTGCCCACCAGCACATCAAATATCTCATCCTGATAGGTTACAACTTGCCTACGCAGCTCGTATATGAGTCCAAGGGCAAATTTACGACATCGATCTCTCTCCGTAGGTACCATACTGAATCCATACTTCAGCAACTTCAGGAACTCGATCTCATATTCAGAAACAGTCATGTCTCCCTGAACCAGGTCTTAAAACTATTGTCGTCTCTGAGCTAAGTAGCGCTCTCCCAGAAAACGGCTCCGAAAGCGATCCTTAAAGAAATTCCAGGTCAAACGATCGGTAGGAACACTACTGGTCACTGACTCCCACCAAGTGTAGGCATTGCCATCTAACATCGCCACAACACCCTGATATCTCTTAGTTGAGTCTAAACCCAACTGATCCATGCGTCTCTCTGTATCCTGGAGCCAATCCTCAGCTTCAGTAGGAGCTCCACCAATCTGTCCCCCAAAAGTTCTAACTCTATTGGCAATCAAAGTCTGCGAAATAGGAACCTCTGATACAACACCAGTAGCTCTGACTGCTCCCTGTATCAACTGCAGAAATTGTCTACCAAAATTCTCATCCAAAGCAACTCCGGTAGACTCCGACTCAATATCAGTCGCTCCTATGATCGGTGTAGTCATGCCAATACCAGCAGCAGGAGGTAGATTCGTTGGGGTCGTAGGAGCAGGATCACCTATCGGAGGTGGGGGATCTACCCGTATCTCATCAATCGGATCTGCAAATCTAGCCACTCGACCTCGTCCACGACTAGTTCGACGACCACGTCTAGCACTCATTTTGATGGATCTCAAGTTTACTACAGAAGATAAAACTTAGGGTTAGATAAGCACTTGGAGTCTCGAACACAATTTAAAAATCTTAATAATTTTGTGACATGGCCTTTGTAACTTGTTTTGTAAAATATTTCAAAACCGTATTTTCAATATGGACTCATACACGGTCCGAGGGTTAAAAACCAAAATCTCTGATACCAATAAATGTAACCCCCTAGACCCGGCCTATGCGTTTCGACTAAGTCTAGTGGATCACATTATGATTATTAATGATATTTTCCGAAACCGTTATTTCATCAATATAAAATCACATTATAAATAACATGAAATTATAATCAAATTATTATTATCAAAACTCAACTCTTAAATATAAAACCAATCAGTAATAAATTAATTTAAAACATATCTTAAAAATCAAAACCATGATAAACTGAATAGTATTAGCAAAAGTATCATCATTATAACATCCAATACTTTATAATAGGTCCATGTCACCAGAATAAAATCAACTTGCAAGATTAAAATATTACAATCAGTTATACTTCAAGAGATATGTTGATTCTCCAAGTGCTCGTACCCAGGTATCTAACCAACAGTATCTGAAAGGGGAAAAATATTTTCGAAAGGTGAGCTAGGCTCAGTGTGTCCCAACATTTCCATAAAATCACAATAGGTTCATTAAACAAATCATAGTCCAGTAAATCTCACAAATTCGTAAAAGAGTTTAACTTTTGAAAATCATAGTTTAAACCCTTTTCTGGTACACCATCAGTAGTTCCCAAAATTATTTTCCATATAGTTTACTTTATGCACATAGCAAAAAGAAAGCCGACTTAAGGATAGGCTATGAAGCTTGTATCCTTAAGCCCAAGTCAATAAGTCCATATAACTTACCCTAAGCACACAGCAAAGGAAAGCCGACCTAATGAAACATCTTGGGGCCCTCAAGAGTCACATTAGGCCCATTTAGCTTGATCAGAGCTATTCCATCGAAATTCAATTCCAAAGTTCAATTGCACCGTGACATAAATTCCATAAATCCAAAAACATGGTAATCATATACCATTTCAAAACAAAAATTAGATAGCAGCCATATTCCATAAAGTGTCACATTAAATTGGCGCTTCCATAAAATAATAACCAATGAATTCGATGTACCACATATTAAAACCAATAAAACAGTTCAGTAATAAGTAGGGAACACACCTCGACAATAGGTTCAAATAGCAAATCTACTGATTGCTGGTTTCACCACGCTCTGCTATAGTTTTCGAACCTATTTTACAATAACACTATATTACTTATGAGTAATATAAATAGATCTCTAAAATCATAAAATTTACGGGTCTTACAGGTGAATACTGACACACGTGGTTTAACTGATCTAGAAGAGCTGGGTCGAGCTGTCGAACGATCCGGAGAGTCTCTTGTACCTTCAAACAATAATAATTTATCAGTCCCAAATCATATTTAATTGTTCAAAGCTAAACTTCTAAAGTATATAAGCATTTTTTGGGTTTGACTATCAATTTGGGGTATTTTGAGTCTGAATTTGGCCAAACGGATTGCGGAATCGGAATCAGGATGTCAAAAAACATAAAGTATGACTTTCCAAAAATTCAAATTCTTGGTCAAAGTCAAAGTCAACCACTTTGACCATCGATTTGGAGGCCTTCGGGTTCGAATTTGACAAAACGGACCACGGAAACGGATTCGGAACGGTGAAAACTATCAGGATAGGTATACTCGGAAAAGATTAACGATCGTTTAATAGCCGGTCAAAGCCGGTCAAAGTTCTGGTCAAAGGAGGTCAACAAACTGTTGAACATTTTACACAAATAGCACCATTTTTAAAATAATTATCAAAATAGCACTCAATTCGAATTAATTACCAGAATAGAACCAAAACCGAATTATTTACCATAATAACACTAAAACCGAATTATTTACCAGAATAGCACCGGTCAACGGTCAACGATTGGGTCGGGTCAACGGGTCGGGTCGTGACCGGTCAAACAAGTTAAACCCTTAAGAAAACCGGTTGAACCGATCACTCACTCGGCCTACGGCGGCGCGTGTGGCGCGTGAGGTGTCCTCCGGGGCTCTAAAAATTACGGAAAAATTTCTAAAAATTATTTTGAGCGTTTTCTAGATACTTACAAAGCTCGGTTCAAATTTTTGAACGGCGGAGAGCTCGAATTCATCAAATCGGGAAGTTTGACCGGTTCACCTCCCCACGTGCCGCCGCCGCCGGAGAAAAAGGAGAACACCGGTGGACTCGGAACGGCACAAGGAACACGATGGTGCGGGAGGTGTCGAAAACCGATCAACGATCGTATATGAATTTAAGATTTTCTCGGCGGTAGTGCTAAATAAACGTCGAGACTTTGACTCGAAATTCACGTCGTTTGGCAGCGTTTCGCTATAATTAATTTACTGGGTTTTGTTCACGGGTCGAAGATGAACACGACGGTAGTTTCAATTTTACGATTAGAGGTCGAACGACTTCAGAATCGGACTTGGAAGTAAGGGTACGGGAGGAGAAAAACTTAAGCAATTTAACATTTGTGGTTTCTGATTTGAAACCAGAAACACGCTTAAATCACCAAAGCTGTCGATATTTTTAGGATAAATTTAGGGCTTGGCCCCTGAATTTCCTTTAACTCTAAAACAAGCTCTAAGTTTTAAAATCTTTCAATTTAGTCCCAAAAAAATTTACCAATTTTCACAATTAACCTCTAATTTCAATTTAATATTATTCTAAGTTTTTCCGGATTGTTACAATATTTTTGAACCAACCATGCCTTTCAAACTCTATTTAGTTTTACTTATAGATATTTATTTGCCTTCTCATTTTATCTTTGTTTTCCACTTTGCAGGGAACAGCTGGGGTTGCAATTGCTGGTCTTCTGGGAGCTGTAAGAGCACAGAAAAGGCCAATGATTGTCTTTCCTAAGCAAAAGATTGTTGTTGCTCGTGCTGGAAGGTTTGTGTTCTAGCCTATCCTGTAAGGCGTTGTGGATTATCATAATACCGATATTACAAAATAAATAACATGGCTACAATAACTATATTTTCCTTTATGTGGGTGGTTCTTTGTGGTGTTTAAACAATTTTCTTTTGGGACGTGATGTACTATAGACTTGATGTTCCTTCTCTAATCATTATTTTTTCTGATTTGAAAGGTGAAATTCATCTGTTATGAACTGTGATTGGATTATAGAAAGTTGATCTTCTGGGGCAACCCATTTTCATTTGTTCTCCCCAGTCCCTATGTCTGTGAAGAAAAATAAAGAAGTGATTCTACAAATGGAAATGAGATACTACTTTTATATTGGGTAATTCTTTTTCATACTTTATGTGAATGTTCGATGTTTTTAATGCTTAGCTGGTCTATTATTTGTTTTCCTGTGGCTGGACACCTTTTCATCCTATCTAATATCGCTTAAACTTGTTGAATCTATGGATTGATATGTTTGCTAATTTTCTTGTCTTTTCAGCATTTTCTGTGAAAAATAATGGGAAGGCCCTGCATGCTAACAGGATAAATTTGAACTTGTCTGCATAACGTCTATACTACTGCAGTGCAGGAATAGGGGTTGTCAATGCTGCAAGGAAAACAATGGCCAGGATGTTAGGAAATACCGAGACTGCTTTTGATAGTGCAATGAGTCAATTCTGGGTTGTTGATGCTAATGTAATTTGCATAATCTCTTAAATATTCTGGAACTCAGCCAAGGAATCGTGCTTACACAAGGACTGCTGCTTTCGACATTGTACATACCTTTTCATCTTATGTTTTTCTAGAAATTGGAGTCATCATAAGTAGATTAAAAAATTGCTAAAGTAACTGTTTTGATTTATTTCTTGTCATTTATATCGCAACGTTCCATGTGATTCCTAATGCTAAAATCACCTTTTGATTCTGTCAGTTTCATTTATATCTATGCATTGCAAAACTATTTGATGTCTTCTTACATTTGTGCTTCTCTGGATTCTTTCAGCTAGAATATGTTGGCTCAATGCTACCTTTGCATATTTCTCTTCCATTAGTGGCACCAATTTACATTAGATATACATTCTAACACAATGTGTTGCTTTATCCAGGGTCTTATCACTGAAGAACGTGAAAATATTGATCCAGATGCCCTGCCATTTGCAAGGAGAATCAATGAAGCTGGCCGTCAAGGGTTAAGAGAAGGTGCAAGTCTTGCGGAAGTGGTTTGTAAAATGCTAGCACAGAAACATTTTTTCAACTCTTTATATAGATTACACCTGGAATAAAGTGTTCCTGTGGCAATGAATTATACTTCATTACGGTCCCTTTCCCCCTTTAGTTATCACTTTCGAGATATGTTATCTGATACATTTTAAAGTCTCTGTATTTCTTTCACAATTCAAACCTTTCATTAATCTGGTTAAACAGGTGCGGCAAGTACAACCTGATGTGCCCCTTGGGTTGTCTGGAGTTGGAGGATTGTTCTCCAAAGAGGTAAAATTGAATTTTACAGTTTAGGTGACAAGCAGAAGATTAGCTTCTATTAGTGTGACAATTATGAAATCTACGTTCACTGTTTAAACATCGTTTATTAATTGCCAAATTACCAAACTAAGTCTTTATTAGTATAGTATTTAACACTTAATATCTTCAAGTTCGATGATCATCAACCTTCACGTGAATATGTGACTTGCAAAGATTGACAGTTTGAATTTAAATATGAAGTGTTCCAAGATTATGCTGTAAATATTAGGCAAATAGCTTCCAGATTGCAACGCAATAAATTTGAAAATTTTTAGATAAATATGTTTACTAGAATCTGTGCATTTCATTAACCTTCGAGCAGAATCCTTTTTGCCTGTATTTTTGCTAAATGTTTAAAGTGCATTTTATCTTTTAGGTTTTAGAGGCTCTTAAAGGTTCAATTTCAACTAAACCAGCTATCTCTGCAATGTCAAACCCCACAAAAAACGGTACGCTTTTTTTTCTCCTAGTATTTTGGGGACATGAAATTAGGGCCTTTCATAATTTGTACTGAGATTTGTCATGGTGTTTTTACCCTTGTTTGTTACAGCTGAGTAGGGGTGTATTCGGTTCGGTTTTTTACTAAAAATTAAACCAAACCGAAATAAACGGGTTTTTAGAATTTAAACCGAAACCGAATGGTTAAAAAACCAAATTATGTGAAACCGATTTTTTTTGGTTCGGTTTAGTTTTTTCAACGGTTCAGTTTTTTCGGTTCGGTTCGGTTTATCGGTTTTTCAATGAAAAATTCACTTGAAACTATAATTTTTTTTTTAAATATTGTCTATTCGGTTCAATATAGAACAAATGGGTTCCATATAGAAAACCCGAACCGAACCCAATCAATAGAATTGAGACTTTAAACCAACCCGAAAACCGAACCGTATAAGATCAAACCGAACCGAACCGTTTTACTCGATTCGTGTCGGTTTTTCGGTTTTCTCAGTTTCATTGCTGAGCCCTACAGCTGAGTGCACCCCAGAGGAAGCTTTCAAAATTGTAGGCGACAACATTATATTTGCAAGTGGAAGTCCATTTAGAGATGTTGATCTTGGTATGTGCCGAGCCTACCTTGTGAAACATTGTAGACATGGCAATTCTTTTAATTTTTGTACTCTTGCAATTTGCCACGTCGGGGCTCTGTATGTTATAAGTGCCTAAATTTGTATGAACTATAGCTACTTATCGTACAAGGTCCTCATTTATTACCTGAAATTCTGTAGCATCTTGATATTTATACAAGTTCCAAAAAATAAAAATCGTTTCCCATTATTCTCTTTTGAGAGTGAAAGGTTTACTTACTTTAAGTCATAAACCATTTATGAAATGGTCGTATTGGGCATTGCAACCAAGGAAACAACATGTATCTCTTTCCTGGGTCAGTCTTTTAATTCATTTCACAAAGGTTTCTCTTTACTTCATCAATCTCTAATTCATCATTTTTATCTCTTTACCCGTCTTTTCTGTTTTCTGCAGCATTGGGCTCGGAACTCTTCTGTCTGGCTCTAGGATCATATCTGATGGCATGCTACAGGCTGCAGCAGAATGGTCAGGTTCATTTTTCTTTCGTTTTTGATAAATATATTTATGAGTGCTTCATAAGTTTTCAACTGTCAAAGACTGTTAGGAGCTTACGTTGAAGATCGCTGGAAGAAGTTTTTAGTCATTACCAGTATATATGAAATTTCGGTAGATTATGAGTTTGCTAAGGGATAAAGACTGTGACAGTGACTGCAACTCCATTCACTCTGATCCACTTCAATTTATTCTTCTAAAGAATTAGAGATTAGGAGGATCTGTTAGGTGTGCCCTTTTAGAGGCATTTTGTGAGTAACTTGTGGATTAAGTAACATATATTATTAACTTACCAAAATATTGTTAGTTGTTCCAAAAGGCATGCAAGAAGTTGCATGATAAACGGATTTGGACCATTAATTTATTTCTTTTGCCCTTAAAATTCCTTGAGAAATATAATAATAGTAATAATGATGAAGATGATAAAGGAGCTTTTGGTACTGGGTTGGATACTAGGGATGTAAAATCGGATAATCGTTCAGGTTTCAATCGGATCCTGTCTGGTCGGGTAAAATTGGATATAGGTCAAGTCATGTAAATTTGATGTTTCGACTCGGATCAGGTCGGGTCCATGTCAAATCAGGTCAGGTCATTTTCAGGTTGATTTGACACCAGGTACAGTTCAGGTTCGGGTCGGGTTACTTTCAGTTCGGATCGATGTCAGTTCATGTCAAAACAATTCAGGTCCAGAGTAGTTAAAGACCAGGTTAATTCAGGTTCAAATGGACTTCAGGCAGATCTCGTTCAGATCGGGTCACATCATTGACAGATAAAATTTAGGTCGGATCTCTATCAGATACGGATTGAATTCAAATCGAGTAATTTTTATTTTTGGATTAATTATTTTCATCTTTCGCGAACGTTGAATTGCACTTTGTAATTGTATATGATTTAGAGTAAATTACTAAGAATATAAATAATAATGGATCAATTTATGAAAAGTATAAATTTAATAACTAAATTGATCAAATATGAAATTTGAAGAAAAAATTTAAATAAATTAAATAACACGCACTGATGAGAGACCAAATGAAAATAATTTTAAAATGTGAGGTTGAAATTAATATAAAAAGTAATAAATTATACTCATTTAAAAAGTTATGGGCCAATTAAAAATATAAATAAGTAATAAGTATGGGTCAATTTTAGATGCAAATATAATTTTAAGGACTAAATTGAATAAATATGAAATTACTAATAAATATTTAAATAAATTCAACAACACAAAGGGATCAAGTCAAAATAATTGTAAAATGTGAAGAAAAATCTGTAAAATGAACTAAATTGAATTCATTTCAAAAGTTGAGAAAAAAAATTGAAACAATTATTATTATATATATATATATACCCCAAATATCAAGTCAGCGACCTTATTGAAAATATTTAGAATTTGAGGATCTATTTGAATAATTGACAAAAGATAAGAAATGATTTGAAATAGTGTTTAAGACCAATTAGTAACAATGGATGAATATAGAGGGTATTTTGGTCTTTTAGAAGAAAATAAATTTAAAATTCATTTTTCTTTGATATAGTATTAAAGAAAAGGGAAAGGGGAAAACTAAGTCATAAAAGCCATCCCTCTTTTTCTTCTCATTCCCATAGAAAAAAACCCTTCTCCATAACTAAAGGTGAGTTTTCAAATTACTAGTTTATTCCTTTGTTTTTGGTTGGTTTTTGAAGCATTGAGTATAATAGAAGCTTAAGGAATGATTAGATGAGATCAAAACTAAGTTATGGATGAGATAATAGAGATTAAAGAAAATGAGTTTTTGAATGATATGTTGAAATAGGAGGGTCTATGGATGTTTTATGGTAAATTTGACTTGTCATATAGGCAAATGAAAGATTAGAAGCATTGGATAGGATTAAAAACACATTAGTAAAAGTGGTGTGATTCTTAGAATTTAATGTTCTTGGAAGATGTTAGATGTTTTAAGAAACAAAATGAAGGAAAGTTAGTATGGATAGTTAAAGAAGAGTTTCATAGTATGTGTAAGGTGTTAATATAACGAAATTGACCCTATTTGGGGTGAAAAATCGAGCTTAAAATTGGAAATTCTGGACAAGGGTATCGGTACTGATAGAACAGTACCGATACTATAGGCTAAAATGGGATGAACTAGCTGAGTAGTATTGATACTTATTCAATTAGTATCGATACCATGGTAAGGGTATCGATACCAAGCAACATCGAATCTAAATTTGGTATCGATACCGGAAGGGGGTATCGGTACCATAGTATTGTAGTATCGATACCATTGTAAGGGTATCGATACAAAAACAACATCGAACCTAAATTTGGTATCGATATCGGAAGGGGGTATCGGTACCATAGTATAGAAGTATCGGTATCAGGGTAGTAGTATCGATACTATGGAGCCAAAAATGTTAAAAATAGGCTGATATTGGTATAAAAAGTTAATGATATGTTCTTTTGAGTATTGATTAAATATAATGGTTAGGAAATATTCTAACATTTGGTATGGTACATGTTTTAATGGATGCTTGAGTAGATCAGAACCAAACTCCTGAAACAAGCAAAACTAAGGGAAAAGGCAATGTACCGGAGTAATCAGCCTTATGTTTTGGATACATAGCGAGGAAAGTCAGGTGATTACATTTAATTGTATAACTATGTGATGTAATAATTGCATATGTATGATTGTTTAAAAATGTATGTGGTGATTGCCAAATAGGCACTAAGTGTGCATTTCACGGAATTCATCCTATGTGGATGAATAACCGTACAAGCTCTATGTGTACAAATCCACGGAATTCATCATGAGTTGATGAATAACCGTACAGGCACTATGTGTTCAGATCCACAGAATTCATCATGAGTTGATGAATAACCATCATGCACTATGTGTGTAAATCCACGAAATTCATCATGAGTTGATGAATAACCGTACATGCACTAAGTGTGCATTCCACAGAATTCATCATGAGTTAATGAATAACCTTACAGGCACTAAGTGTGCATTCCACGTAATTCATCATGAGTTGATGAATAGCTGTACAACCACTAGGTTTGCAAATCCACAGAATTCATCTTGAGTAGATGAATAACCGTACAGGCACTATGTGTGCAAATCCACGAAATTCATCATGAGTTGATGAATAATTGTACAGGCACTAAGTGTGCATTCCACGAAATTCATCATGAGTTGATGAATAACTGTACAGGCACTAGGTGTGCAAATCCACGGAATTCATCATGAGTTGATGAATAACCGTATAGGCACTATGTGTACAAATCCACGGAATTCATTATGAGTTTATGAAATACCCTATAGGCACTACATGTGCATCTTAATAAATGAACATGAATAGAAAATTGATAAATTACCATGTTAGCACTAAGAGTACAAATGTATAAGGTTTATAATAAATTATAAAGAGTTAATTGATATTATAAATAATTATTAGAGTAGAAACTAGTCCAAAATAAAAAGGATAGTGGCCTAACTGTGTATTTGACAGAAAGGTGTCAATTATGCCAGTTAGATAAAAGGCTAAGTGCCTTTGAGGCCTAACTATGCATTTGACAGAAAGGTGTCAATTATGCCAGTTAGATGAAAGGCTAAGTGCCTTTGAGGCCTAACTATGCATTTGACAGAAAGATGTCAATTATGCCAGTTATATGAAAGGCTAAGTGCCTTTGAGGCCTAATTGTGCATTTTACAGAAAGGTGTCCCTTATGCAGTTAGATGAACGGTTAAACATTGTTGAGTAAAAGATGACTGATTAAACATTGTTGAGTAAGAGAATAAAGGAATTTTAATGTATTGTGATATGAATGGTGCATAAGTGATATGAAGGGATGATATATATATATATATATATATTGTACAACGATGCATAATTAGTATGAATGGATGTTATAAAGGAAAACGTAAACATAATATAAAAGGCATGAAAGGATGCCATAAATGAAATTTATAATAGTGTATAAAAGGCATGAAAGGATGTTATAATTGGAATGTATATAGGTGCATTATAAGCATGAATGAATGCTATCAATGAAAATAAAGAATAACGACTAAAGAGATAAATAGAAAAGAAAATATAATTAATATAATTGTGAATGAAATATTGTTTAAAGGAGGAGGATTATAAAACCCTTAAAGATCATATGATTTAGTACGAACTAAATAAATGTGACATACTTATGTATACACAAAGGTTACTTTACAATATTATATCTCACTAAGTAAATACTTAATGTGTGTTTATTTCACGCGTAGGTAAAAGCAAAGATTGGTTGCATAAGGAGTGTTGCAGTAGCAGAAGCTTTCATCTGTTAAGGTTGCCTCTTATCAGTACCGATAGGACAATCGTGTTTATTTTTGAACTATTGCTGGCATGTAATCTAATTTAAAGAAAAATGCTCTGGAATGTATATAAAGTGGAAATTGGTAGTATATTTCGATGACTGTTTTATAATTGTGCTAAAATGTTTTTAATTTAAATTTTGAAACGAAATTTTACTGGTTTTCAAATGATAAATTGTTTTAAAAAGTGATGTGACATCCGTATCTCGTGTATGGAAAGGCATACGACATAAGGATGTTACAATAATATATAAACTATATAGTTTATATATAAAGTATATATATTATTATATATATAAACTAGATAGAGAAACTATATAGTTTATATTTGCAACCCCTCAGACCGATGCGGGTGACCCCGATCTGATCTGGGGTGTCACATTAGGGCCACCGGAGCGACCCACCGTAAAAATCTCGGAAAAATTAAAATTTTTATTAAAACATGTAAAATTATAACATCATTTATAAATAAAAAAGTATATCTTATCAGTATTCAGAAGTAAAACAAATTTCAGACACTCATATGTAAAACAAATTACAACCTACATGCCCCTAATCACATGCACCGTACTCCGCAAGAAATGCCAGTGGAACTCCCCTACTGAAATTGATAGCTGCATTGGAACAATTATTTTAACCTGAAATGATGATTAACAGAGAGTGAGCTTTGAGAAGCTCAGTAATACAATACTACCTAATGATGCTACA